CTTTCAAATTTTTTGCAGCTGATTCTCCTATGGTTCGTATGATGAGACTTATCAGAATATTTAAAAAACACACTGTTAGTCATAACCTGTTAAGAGGTGTTTCATTAGTGGTATTTTGGAGGTTATGGAGGGAGAGGTGCAGAAGGTTTTATGAAGGTATATCCCTCTCAGCCCATGCTGTGTTCCTTGATATTTGCTCTTCTTTGCGTCTCCAGGCTTATGGCGTTAGACCGCAGGCAATGGAAGGCATGACGGGTATGGATTTATTGAGGACTTTAAAGGTGGATATGAGGCATAAGCTAAGACCAAAGATCATTTGGGTCGACTGGTCCCCTCCTCCTTCTGGTTGTTTAAAGCTAAATGTGGATGGGGTATCGAAAGGTAATCCTGGAAGAGCCGGGGGTGGAGCTGTAGTAAGGAATGAATGGGGGCACTTAGTGTTGGCTGCTTCATTTTTCTATGGGGTTTGTTCTAATATGGAGGCTGAGCTGCGTGCTCTTAAGGATGGTTTATTATTGTATAAAAGTTATGGGCTATTAGACTATGCCCTCCAAATTGAAACTGACTCGGCGACTATGGTCCAAATGGTGTTAAAAGGACACAAGAGGGCATGGAAGTTCTGGAAGATTTGCGACGAGATCATGAGTTTATTGGAGGGCATGACTTTTAGTCTGGCTCACGTGTATAGGGAAGCGAATTACTTGGCTGATTGTTTTGCTAACCTCGCTGCTTTAGAACCTGCCTCTGAGGATTTCTCACAAGATTTGTTGATTCCTCTCCACGCCAAATTAATTCAAAAGCAGGATCGACAAGGAGTTAAAGCACCAAGGAAAAAGTTGGATAATCTTTGATTATTTGCTTATATCATGATTCCATTTCATGAGCTGGGGGGATTACCTCAGATGGAGCTCTTTGTTCTTGCTTGGTATTTGGCAGCTTTTTCTCATCATTGCAGCTGTGGGGAATATCCAGCTGTTTGTTTGCTGATTTGGGCAGGCGTGCACTGTTCACATAACTGTTCACGTGAACTCCTTGGTGGCTGCTGCTATTGGCTTCCTCTCAGCTGTTGGTTTTTCACGGTTCTGTTCAGCTTCATTTCTTCGCTGTCCAAGTCTACTGTTCACGTGAACAGTCTGATTCCTGCTCTGCTGAATTTTACTGATTTCCAGCTGGTTTTCTTCTGCTACTTCAGCTGGATTTCCAATTGGTTTCTTGCTCGTATGAGCCACTCAGCTGGCCTCTCTACTGTTTTTTGGGTTTGCAATGAAGGAGTGCTGGGGGCTGTGAGGTTCTGTTTTTTTCTGGCAGCTTGATATTTGGTCTATCTTGGCGGTCTTGGCAGCACTATTTTTCCTATGCAGCAGTGGGTTCTGGTCAGAAGGGGACTGTTCAAGCGACTGTTCACGTGAACTGTGCAGATGCTGCTGCAGCTGATTTTTCAGCTGTTTTATTTGATTGCTTCCTCGGTTCCTGCTGCTGCTCTTCTTTTTGAATTTTCTGGCTTTCAGCGGGCTCCCAGCTGGTTTCTCTTATGGTTTTACTGCTGCCTTTTCTGATGAATTTTAGCTGCCTTTTCTGCTCTTCCTTTTGCAGCTGCTTTTCATGCGTCTGTTCACCTGATTACAGCTGGGCTTCCAGCTGGTTTTCAAATTGATTTCCAGCTGGATTTTCAGCTGCTGTTCAGCTGGTATTAATGTCACTTTTGTGCCTTCTGCTGCTCTCTATGAAGGTGTCTGTTGCAGCTGTGGGTTTTGGTTTGTTGGGCACTGTTTACGTGCTTTGTTTGGTTGCTGCTGCTGATGGGGCATCTACGGTTATGGCTCACAGGCTGCTCAGCTGGACTTTCAGCTGGTTTGGGTGATGCTGTGGGTTTTCTCAGCTGAATTCTTCAGCTCTCTTCCTTATCTCACTCTGTTGCCTTTTATTGATCAAGGATGGACTGTTTTTGCGCCATCACATGGTCCAGTCTCTGCTCACCAGTTCTGTGCAGCTGGTTTCAGTTCTGGTTGAACGCTGCAGGGGTTCTGGTTCTAGCTTGATGCTGCACTGGTTATTTAATGGTGCTCTTCGGTTTCAGCTCCGCTGGACTTCCAGCTGGTTTTAATGTTTCTCCAGCTGGATTTTCAGCCGTTTTTCATGCTTTTGCGCCATTCAGCTGATCCCTTGCGCCTTTGGCTTATGTAGAAGTTTTTCTTTGCCTTTTATTTTGTAGGTTTAAAGCCAACTACGACTTTTCCTTTGCTATTAAAGCTTTGTCTCTTTGCTTCTTGTAATCTTGGTTTTTATCAATGGCATTTGTCTTTTTTACCAACAAAAAAAAAAAAA